TAGACTGGCCTCCCATCCAGGGGGGAGCAGTAACACTCCTAGTCACTTCATGCTATGAAAACCAGGATGTGCTTCCAATGGATGGGCCAATTGGCTTTTGTACAGGCTTAACCTTTGGTGGTACTGACCTCATTAGCAAACAAAGTCATGAGGAATCTTCCAGGCTTAAAAGTCTTAAGAACTTTGGATATCAGCTCCTTGTAGCATGACTATAAGAGAATGGAAGGAGGTCATATTGTGAAGAACTCTGTGTTGAAATGCTTTATCAATTCAGTTATAATTTGATTAAATTCCTGTTACTGCTGTTAAGAGGCCTATGACCATTGCCATAAGTTAAATTGGACAGAAAACATTGCTAAAATCTGTATCACCGAGAATTTACCAAACCGCTTTGTGATAAAACCTACAGACTTCAGGTTAAAATATATGTCTTCAAAACTTTACCTCGTGTTTTACATAAGAAGTCAGTGAGAAAGATATCAGATATTTTCATTTCATTACCCCTTCAAGGTTCTTTCACAGCTTCTACAAATTTCACTAATCAGTGAATTTGGTGCTGTATCAAGTTAACTTTCTCTAGCTGTTGAATTATTCTATCCTAACCATCAGGTTCTATCCTCACCACCGGTTTTGTCCGGAGAAGTTCAATCTCTATCATTCAAAAGAGTTTAAGGGTTAAGTTTCTCCTTAATCCTCCATTAAGTAAAATCTATAAGGTGTTGTTAATGTGTATATTCTCATTGCATATATTGTTTAATCCAGTGTCAAGCAGATGAGGATGAAAACAACACCACATTGAGAATGAGCTAGATTTACAACTGATTTCTCACCAACAAAAACTGACTTGTCTGATGTAAGTTTAGTTGAATTAACCTTATAAACTGAGAAATAACAGTGTGAATCATGACTTAGTGCCTACTGACTAACCACTTTAACATTGGTTTCAAAACTGGCATAAGAACATTCCTCTTGCGGGGTAACGTGAATGCTAAAGTAGCTGTTCTGTTGAAGAAAAAGGAAAGACTAGTTCAGTGTGAGGTAAATTCAAATGTACACTCAGCATGTTTAAAGTTAAAAGGCTATATCCACCTTGCCATATCAGGGCCTTTCCATGAAAATTCTACCTGAGGGGAAATGTGAACTGTATGGGCAGTTTCTCAAAATACAGACCAAAGTATCTTAAAAATTTTAACAAGATTGGCCACAATATATTTTTTTTCCAATTTACTCACATCCAAGAGGCCATTAGCAGAATAACCACAAGGATCAAACAAAGCAGCATCAATCAAGGCTCCAGGGAGAAATTCACTTATGCCTGTGACCTACAAAAAAACAGGCAGGAAAAATTAACCCTTTAACTCTCAAGATCTTAGAAGTGAAAGGGTAAAGGGGTTGAAGGGGTTTTGAAAGACAAACTTAAGAGTATGAGATAATCTTCTCAACCAAAAGGAACAGATTTTTTTTAGGTCAGTAAAACTCCTTGATCCACCAACATTTTAAGAAAGAATATATGGAATTTGAGGAGATTTCTTGAGGAGGGAGCTTGAAAATACAACACATCCAAACAACCAGCTGCAGTAGGAAAAGTACAAGCATATTAAAATTAAGGGGGTTGAATCATTCACCCTGACTAGAATATTATTGTCTTCTTGGATAATGGGAGGGAAGTCAAAACCCTCATTTGTCTCTGAACACTCACATCATATATTAACAGTATTATAATGCAACTGAATAGAGATTACTTTAAAACTGGTGCATTTCTACATAAAATCAGTCCTTACTCTGGTCACTTCATCTGCATTAGAAGAACTTGACTTGTAAAACTTGTTCCTTGCCTCTCGGTCAAGATCATGCATCAAAATGTTTGCAGGCTAAGGATTCATGATTCTTTATCACTCTGATAACAATTGGTATTTAAGACTTCTATTATGACAAATTGATGCAAAATAATGAAACAAAATGATAATAAAAAAAAGGAGAAAAAGAAAACTAGACAGAAGACATTAAGCAAGTAGTTTTTGTTTAAAGATATCTCCAGTGTTTGGTCTGGCTGGGTCACACCAGGAAGGATGTTATCCAGGGTGTATAAGAACCTGGGAAAGAAGACAAATCGATCAAGGTATTATGTCAAATACAGGGATGTGACAAGTGAAAGGGACATAGGTCAATTAGTATTTGCATTGCAAGGCAAATGGATGGGAAACAACTGTCAGTACATTTTCAAGTTTAAAGAACTCTTGGCCATTGTCTGTAATTTGTCACCGAGTTCAGGACTTACATTGTTTCGAATCATTTTAAGAGAAACGACTCATTAGAAACATTAGAACCTTGCTTTCAAATTCTCCCTCCACCTCCCCCTCATGGTCTCCCTACAGCACCACGATTTTCCTTGCCTGGGAGAGAAATTCTGAGGTTGCATGACATTTAGGATTTCCAATGTCTCATATCCTATTTCAGGATGAAAACCTGCTTTACTTGGACAAACAGACATTATTTTTTATAGCTCTATACAAAAGAACTTGTTGAATTGGTAAATTATTACCACAGCACTTACTTACCATGTGTCAGGACCATTCAATCGTCCAAGAGCGTATCCTGCACCATCTAAATTAGAAAATCATTAACACAACATGAATAAAATAACACAAAATTAAAGTTTCTATTGAAATAAAGTGAGCTGTAGTACTTGTGGCCCTAGTTTCATTGCTTTGGCATCTGATCTCAAAACTATACATAGAGAGTCAGAATAGCAATACTTGAACAAAATGAAAACTGCAAGCAAAATTGCCTTCAATTCCAGGACTACACTCTCAAAGATAAAACAGTTCATAATTCTTACTTGTATGAAAAACATCACACTAAAATGAAAGCAATCTCAAAAATGGTAGATAGGGGTTTTAAAATAGACAGTTTCATTTAGAGTTGTTTTTAACCCTTTAACTCCCATGAGTGACCAAGAAAGAATTTCTCCTTACAATAT